TATTGAGTTTTTATTTATTAATTAATATTTTTATTAAATAAATTAAAAAATTACTATATTTATGTATTGAAATAATTAATTATAATTAATAATTTAAATTATAATATTATAATAGATTTATATATTTTAATAATATAATAAAAAAAGATAATAATTTTAGTTATATATTTTTTATTTAATTTATTATATAAATATTTTGTAAAGTGGTAGTTCGTCCTTAATCTGTCTGGTTGACATATTAGGCGGGATCAACAAAAACGGAGTGATAGGTTAAAACTAACTACCGCATTACCATTCTTTAGACTGGTAATTGTTAGGTTTAACCTTGTTTTATCATTCATATTTTTTAAGATAATAAAATAAATAATAACAAGAATTTATTTCTATAAATAATATAAATACATAATTAATTATATACTTATAAATATATATTTTATTTATCACAAAATACTAGTAGAGTAAGTGATAAAACTTATGGTATTAATAACAAGGGTACGTTAGTTAAAAATAAATTGAGAGTAACAGAGAGTAAGGAATGAAAATAAAGTTTTTTTCTTTGGTAACAAGAAACGAAGGAAAGAAAAATGTTACATTGTATTATATTTTATATATTTTATTTTTTAATCACATATTAATAAAAACTAGTATTAGAGAAACATTATTTTATAAAATTATCTCATTTAAATAAATAAATAAATATTTATTTACATTTTTATTATTTTAATTTATATATGTTTAGATAAAGAGTTATATACATGTATTATAAAAAATAATTGAATAATTTAATATTTTTTATGTAATATTATTTTATTAATTTGAACTCAAATAAGAAAATAAAGTCAAAATTTATTTATTTTTACTAAAAAAATAAACGAGAAAGATAAAAAAGAAATTAATGAATTTCAAATTTTTTTCTTTAACCAAAATATCAATTAAAAGATTTAACTTGTATAAATAGTTTTTAATTTAATACCCATAATAAATATAATGAGGAAGCAAACGTGTTTGTGAATGAAATTTCGTATATATAAATTTGTTTTCTAGTATCTATCTAAATAAATACACGTATTTTAGTATGACATTAAATTTAATTTAAGGATGTTTACATTAGATTAAAAAAAATATTTAATAAAATTATATATAATGTAAAAAATATAATTATATAATTAAAATATTTTCTAATTATATATCATTAAAAATAATACATCTTAATTTAAAATTGTTATTATATTAAAAAAAATTGTAGGAGTTAAAAATATTATTTTATATTTATTTATACTTTTTAAATAATATTTTTTTCATACTATTTTTCTCTCAAACAAACAATCATATTTTTTACATTTTTTTTTCATTTTATTTCATTTGTTACCAACCCTGGGAGTTGAGATTTAATTATTCATCTCTGTTACGTAATCTATTAGTTAAATAAATATTTCAAATCATATTAATTTGGAAAACTAAGTATATACCTTCCCTATAAAGTTCTCACATGTGAATTTAAGATTACATAATTAAAAAGAAAGAAAAAAAAAGGAATAAGTTAACTATAACATGATATATTAATTTAGTTTATTTAAAAATATTTAAAACATGTAATAATTATATTAAAAAAATTGATTTTACATATCTTTAATATTATAGTAAATAAATAAGTATAATCATTATCTTATTAAATTAGTTTTATAAGTTTATAGGATTATATTAGATATTTTATTATTTTTAATATGATATAAAAAATTTTGAGACATTAATTATTAATAATGGTAAATTAAATAATTTATTATTGAATAAATATTTGTTTAGTATTAAAAAATATTGTATTAATTAAAAATATAATAATATTATAATATAAGTGGGTATAATTAATTTAAACTTAAAACTATTTTTAATAAATTATTATTCATGAATATGATGTAACAGATGTGGAAATGACATAACCATGGTCCATCTCCATGGTGTGTGATGGATGGCAATGCCCCAAATAAGCCCTCCCCCAGAAGGAACTTTCCAATAATCCTGTGTGTCATGTCATGCCAAAAGCAACTTATTCACTCTCGGAAAAGTTTCTCAATGCCTCATGCCATTACTAGACACCACCATGCATCAATGTATCTATCTATCTATTTTGGTGTCGCTGTCACTCTCTCACTCTCTACTTCATCTTATGTTTTACTTCAAAGGTGGCAAGTTAAAGTTTGCCAAGAAAACAAGATCTAAAACTCCATCTCCTTGCATTCAAGTGTCCACAAAATATCAACTTGTTTGACTTTTAAGTGTTTCTGAAGTTGTGGGAGTGAGTGGATTATATTGCTTGCTGTGTCAGGGTACTATAAACTAAACACTCAACAACAGTGTTATGTGAGTGTCCATGGTTTTATTGTTTAAACAATGAATCAGATTTTATGAGTGGGTTTGTCCAACAAATAAAACCAATAAATATCTCCAAAAGCTTTTGCAATCTAAAAAGGCACTCCCTCATACATCCTCACAGTTCAGTATCAATGTCCAAGGAAATCAATCATGCTGATGCTGATTTCTGCATAAAATATGATAAGACAGAGTTAGGTCTATACTTTTCAATATTGCTTAATCCCAACTAAACTAAAACTTATAGATTTATTAACAAAACATTTCCAAGACAAAATTTTATATTACATACTTAGCATTCTTTGCTCTTTTCTTCTTGCAACAAAATTTGGAAACATTTTTACAATTGTTTTTTGTCTTCATTTCTTTCCATCACATCACACCCATTTGTTTTTATGTCTTTCTCTTATCTCTTTCAATCTCCATTGTTTATAAAATGAATACAATAATGTAGTTTCTCTTGTTTCTTCTCCAACTTCATCCAATATTCCGATCTCTCAATAAATGAAAGACAGCAGAGAAACAGGGCAGAAAGGAATTGCAGATAAATAATTGTTTTTAATAATGGTTGGAAGATGAGAACAGTAACACGACATACATGAACAATGCGCTTCTTCTTCTTTTTTTGTGTTTTCATTTGACGCATGCGCGTTCGTAGGTAACAAGACAACGTGTAATCGATTGAATGGGTGGTAGCGGTGTCGTATGAATGTGGTATATGATCATGAATTGATAAACATACAGCTAATAACTCATTATTATAATATTTTCTATGACATTTTATACAAATACTATTTTCTTCTTTATTCATCTTCTTTATACTAATCATCTTGTCCTACAATTTTGTCATCACTCTGTTTTCTCTTTTTATTTCATAAACAACCTAATGGTTGAAATATAAAAATCTATTTTAATAAATTAATTATGGTTAAATACATCAGGTCACTTATCATCCAATTATTACTAAACCACCTTCATACACTTAGTTTTGTATTATTTAAATTTCACATATTATTACTCCAACTCCCTAAATTATAGTATTTATACCTACTCAATTTTTAATGTAAGCCCAACCCAGAAGTTAAGTTTGAAAACAAATGTTAAAATAAATATTTAACAAATTTTTATAGAATAGAGGCTTAAATCTAGTTTTTAACTTATAATTTCTACTAAATTTTTTTACAAATTCTAATATATTAGTACATATAATTCTCATTTTATTAAGTGGATTTTGTAATATTTATTTAGCTATTTCATTATTTTTAAAATAATAATGAAGTCAACCTTAATGACACTGAGATATTAATTGGTAATCGTTATTGATTAATCTACCCATTATTACATTAATATTAGATATTTTAGAGGAGATGTTGAGAAATCTTACATGAACTAAAAACATACTAATATCAATATATAATATATAGATAAAAATAATTCACATTTTTTTTAATATAAATTGAAATATATTTATTTTTAATATAAAATAAAATATATAAAACTTATTTATAAGATACAAGATAGTTGTAAAATATTTATAATTAATTAAATCTTACTAAAATAATATATAATTTATACAATAATAATATTTTGTAAAAAAAAATCTCAACATAATACATTGGTGTTTTGAGAGATATAAGAGTTTCATCGTTGTCGTTGTGTTTTTATTACAACTTTGCTCTTTAAAAAAAAATAAAATTAAACAATGGATTCACTATAAAAATATTATCTAATTTTTAATATAAAATATCATATAGATGTTAGTGATTATAGTGGCAATTACTATTCACATAAAATATTAATAGTACATTTTAACAATAAACTTTCGTATATGTTATTTCAATATATAAGTTAACATTTTGTTAATAATTGATAATATATTATTGGTGGACTTCATGAAAACTAAAATTGCACACTTCGAAGTTATAGAAAAAAAATCGATTTAAAAAAAAGTTAGATTAGAGTATTTTTAAAAATTTTAAAATAAATAAGTCGAGTTTAATTTATAAACTGAAATTAAGTCAGTTTATCTTTTTATTTTTTTATACTAAAATATATATATATATATATATATATATATATATATATATATATATATATATATATATATATATATATATATATATATGTATGTATGTGTGTGTGTGTGTGTGTGTTTCCTTAATTTTAAAGTTTCCTAATATGAAGATTTTAAGGGGTGTTTATTTGAACTTTTATTCTGTTTTGCTATTTTAATTAAGAAAAAAAAAACTTTATTTGTTTTCAAGAATCTTCGTAAGAATCAGTAAAAACAAAGAAGACATGTTTTCGTTTTTCTATACAAATCAGACACGGATTTAAAACAATACAATATTTTATAATCATAAAATAAACAAAAATAAAACCTAGGAATAAAAGTGTAAGTTAACACACCCAAACTTCCCTCAAAGTGGGGCGCATTGTATCATTTGGATTGAACAAGAAGGAAAACACATATATTGTAATGTTTACTCAATCATTCACTGGGGCCTATCTGCCAATGTCATAAGAACAGAGCATGGAAACTAACTTAACCAACAAATTATTTGATAAAGGCATGTTTGAGAGCAAACCTGGTTGCAAGTTAGAGCACAAGTTAAAATTGTAAAACTCTACTATCACTCTCTTTGTATCACTAAGGGAGCCGGTGGATTCATTATTCCATCTCCACCTCTTTCACAATTCTCTTTTTCTACAATACTATCTGAACTATAATTTCCTTTTAAGACATTGCTTGAATTTGGAGGACTAGATGTTTTCATCATACAAGGGGAAGAGTTGTCACGCTGAGGAGAACTTGTGCCAGATTTTATGGGTACTACATCTTCCCGAGCCAAAGGTGAAATTGAAGGTTGGTTACTAGCATCAGTTTGTTTCCTAGAGAACTGATCTTCTACAAGATCATAGTTATTCCCTGTCCTTGCTTCTTGAGCAAGAGAGCACCAGGAACAGCATAGCCAAAGTGTGCAATCAGAAGCTGAAGGTTTGCCAAAACAGAAGTAATAGGCAGGTAAGTTGAACTTCTTTCTCATTTGGATCCTCCAAAATCCGCCATATAGTAAACCAAGAAAACAAAGAACGATTCCAACAGCTGCTAGAGCCAACCTAACATTGTCATCATCTATGTTACCGGAAGCCAAAATAAAAATCCAGAAAGGAGCTATACAAAATAGCATAAAAGTGGCAATATGGACATACATGTTTCCAAATCCATGTCTCTCCATATTCCACCCAAAGACACAAAAGGAGCAGAAAAGTGAAAGATATGCTAAGGAAATATCGTTCCATATGTCAAGTATTCCTCCACTCCACTTTGGTCTATTTTCAACAACCCTCTGTTGATCATTGGATGCAAATGAGTATTTCTTCTCACATGGTTTCTCTCTTGGCTGCTCTTGCCTTTGAGGGCCAGTAATCTCCACCTGTACTTCTTCATCCATCTCACAGTCATAGTCCTTCCCAAGTGGACTAAGAATGGTGTACAAACCAGCAACTGCAGGAGCAGCAAATGCACAAGATATCGATATTCCAACTCCAATGGCGGGTCTCTCAGACCTTGTATACCCTAAGTTTAGATCACAAAGTGCATATTGAGCAAAACAGTTAACATGAAGGAGAATGACCACTACCATCATATGTGCCCACTCATGGGGCTTGTAAGTACCATTCTTGCAGTACACCTTTCTAAGTCTAGAGATGTCATTTGGTCTCCATCTGATCAGAAGAACAAGGTGGTAGAACCTCTTAGGGTGTTGATACAAGCACATGAGTGTAAACAATGCATTGAGTATTTGGTTATTTATTTCAAACCATGCATTTCTCTGAGACTTCCTTGGAAGCACACGATTCAACATGCCTGTCATGACCAGGAACAGAATTGCACCCGAAATAGCAACACATGTGATCCACGCAAAAAGGGCCATGTTTACTGGACTTCTAATCCACTCCATGCACATGTTCTTGATAGAACCCCCATCCAGTTTCTGAGTAAGCATGCCTCTGAAACGTGCTCCCAGGCCCTTTGATCGAGGAGAAGGCACAGATAGTGAAATCTGGTCTCTCTCAATAGCAAGCCTCTTGAATTTAGCAGATGCAGAACCAAATTTGAGAAAATTTATCCTATTAGGAACAGAAGAACTTAAGGTGCCCTGAAGCTTTTTCTGAGAATCTTCTCTGCTCAGAATTTGACTTGTTGAAATATCTATAGAAACAAACTCCTTCACTTTACTGCCATTAGATTCCTCAATTTCATCTTTGGGGTTCACAATCCCATTATCAACCGAAACCATTCTGATAAAGAAAACTCTGTTAGTTCTTGATCAAATCAGAACCGTATCCTCAATGGCTTAGGTTAAGAACAAATACTGCAAAGAAGACATAACAGAAGAAACTATGATAAGATTACAAATCTGTAGAAAATTTCCCATGGAACCATATAAAGCAATGAGGAAAGTATCAAAACAAATGAAAAATAAAGAAAGAGTTGATTGCTTAATAAACAAGTTGATCAGAAATGACAATCCAAAATCCAATATAATTCTAATAGTGCAAAAAATGTCAGGCGACTTATGCATGAAAGACAGCCTCATAACCCCGAAAATCAGAATTTAGAAACAACAAAAGAAATCCCATAATAATAGCATTAAATTTTCATGGTATAAGCTGGTGGTGAAAATTAGACATACCCATTAGCCGACTCATCACGATTAAGTGTGAATGCAAGTAATTGCCTCACAGATAGTTATGTGTTTGATATAATCGAAAAACAATAAATCGTATGGAATCAAAAGTTCAGGCATTAATACAAAATAAAAGGTAAAACAGAAAAAGAGTGACATGCATAAAGTTGGAAAAAAGAGAGAGAAGATCATCGTACGTACTCGCAGGCGTAGCAGGTAACAAAAACAACGCAGTCAAACAAGAATGATTAAGATTGTCCCTTCAACGTCCAAATGGCAAATACGACTGCAGGTTACCGGCTTCCACCGACCAGATAAAGTAAAGGCGAAGGAAGTACTGAAAATAAGAGAATTTCATATTGTGGAACCAAAAAGTAGAAGGGAAAAAATTGTTCGACATCTCAAATTTTTCAAATATCCAATAGTTATTTTTTTAGTGATTGATAAAAGAGAATGAGAGTGATTGATGGAAAAAAAAGAATGAAATAAGATGAATACATAATAATATAAAAATGTAAGACCTATTGATCATGTAATTTGGGATCCCCATTTAGATCAACCAGATGTAGAAGTTTTTATCCGTGGAGGTACTCTAGACCTGTCAATATAGCCTAGTGTTTATCAGTGGTGCTATACAATCGGTTTAAATGTGTTTCCTAAATGAATGCATGTGAAAAAAAATGAATTATTAATATATTATTAACCCAAAATAAAAAGAAGACTAAAGTAAAAAGAATTTGTCATGAATCATCTCTCTTCTATTTCCATGCACGAGTTCTACGAAAACATACATTCATTAAGAAAAGAACCAATAAAAAAGCATTTTAATTGAATTAATGATATGTTATTAAATAACATGCGTTAGGGTTTATAGATGACGAAAGAAAAGTGTACACCGTTTTATTGGATTGAAAAAAAGAAAAAGGAACACGAAGATTAGATAAGCTAGCCTAAAAGTAGAAAAATTGCAGCGTGGTATTTCGCATTCTACTTTGCATCTTTCCTTTAGAAAAAGTAAGTCGGAATGAAAAGTAGATTAGAACAGTCACGATGCTGTCTGGGACCGGAGAAAAGAAAAGAAAGAAAGCGATTATAATATGCTGTACCGTTCAATTGAATTATCTATCCTTGCCTTTCACGGGGACGAAAGGTATAATTTGCGATTATATCAGTTAGTTATTTACAGCTGGCTTTTCAAGGAGAAAATCAAACTGAACAATGCCTTCAACTTTTTACAACTCTATCAATTGATAAAGTTATTAACTGTTATCACATAAATAAATTTTGATGGTTAGTTTTTTTGACCTTTGTAAAGAATTATAGCATAATATAACATGAATCTGTTAACAGGTTCGCATAATCCATGGATAAAACAAGCAATGGTAGTAATTCAATTATACTCAGCACCCTCATTAAAAACTCATTTCTTGAATTCAGTCAGACAAATTCAATTGAAACCAAAACAAGTACACTCAGTAAGTACATGTGTAAGACGAACAACTGAACAGACACGCATAGTACAATGCAAATCATCAAACAATATGTCTAGCCACCAAATATTAAAGGTATAATTCAAGTAAGATCATCCTCCTCAAGTTCTTTGGCTTTCAGCTTTTCCTTCACCCTCAAAAGAAGTGTGGTCTTCCAAGAATCCTGCACAAGTACACCGGCAATATTGATGAGCTACAGACACGACTAATACTACGGTTTATACTTCTGTAAAATTGACAATGCAGTTATGATGATAGGTCATTTGTTTATACTGCTGTTATAAATTGCGAAAAAATATACAGTGGAAATATTTTTGTTAAACACCACTTAGTTTTTGTATTTTACAACTTTTGGAGCTTACCAGAGGTGTCATGCTATCAAATTCTTTCACAACATCAGTAAACCTCCCAACATCTTCTTCATCAATAGAAGCAGAAATATCCTATCCACCAGGATAAAAAAAAATGTCAGTGTTACATCTGGCAAATGTATGACTAAGTAACAAAGTATTCACGATGACATAATAAATACCAAAATGTAATAAAACACTTTGAAGCAGAAGGCAGTTTAGAGAAGTCCACATATTCTTTATGTATCTACTTGTTCATTAAAATTTAATAGTGAAATTCCAAAACTAGTGACCTACCGCCAACAATCTATATTCACGTGTCCCCGAAAATGTAGGATCTAATTCCTGCAAAATAAATACATGTCCAAAAAATTGAGCAACTAGTAATATTTCCAGTCTCAAGATGTGAATTATTCAAAAATATTAGACCTGATATCGTTCTAATGCATTGGTTATAGCAACAACATCCCCTTTACAGAGTTCGCAGATGCCAGCATTAAGCAAGTGTCCTTTAACACCGTACTTCAATAAATTGTTGTTGAGGGATTGTCGAGCTATGTCTTCGTAAATCTCAATTGACTTCTGATATCTGAAGATCATCACATGGAAACAGTTAATCTTCGATTTAACATAACAAGAAGGCTCTGATAAAGTTCCTTCCATTTAAAAAATAAAGTTTTAGATTACTTTGGCAGTTACTGCTGTAACTAGAGCAAATCATACACAATAACATGTAACCCATACTAGACGCAGCAATGGACTGACTTTTGTTCACACTATATACCCAAGTCAACATAGTATGGATTGTGGAAAGAAACATGCAAGCATTCTATTAAGATAATAGACCATAACAATAAATTCTAAGTGTCAAAACCTATACTGACATGAGTTTCTGCTAACCTGAGGAGAGTGGGTTGGACAAAAAAGGTAGTGAACAAAATAAAGGCCAGCAAGATTGTTTCCAAACAAATTCTAAGTACTACCAATTAAAGAATGTATCCGAGTTGAAGAAATATAAATCAAATCATCATTATAATAATACAGATTCAATATGCAGAAAATACAAAATCTTACTGTTCTAACTGAGCAGCAAATTGAGCAACTTTTTGTTTGCATTGGTTCGCAGTAGTTGTCACCTCTTCATTTTGAAAAAAATCAGCTGACTTTTCATAGTAAACAAGAGCCTGCTCAATATTCTGTTCAGCCTCGTACAATTCAGCAATTTCCTGTATGTAAGTTGTAAAATAGTGAAACCAAGTTAAAACAAGATAACAGTCACTCAGGCGAACTTATATACTTCAATTCATTTAATCAAAAATTGATATTCAGAAGCTGGGATATGGGCAATAGAATAAATTTAAAGTGATACAAAGGAGATGTGATACCCATACATTATATATCCCAGATAACCAAATAAGCATTCGGTACATCTTCTGAAACAAAAATATGTGTGTGTGTGCATACCTTTAAATATCTAGCAGCCATCGAGAGTCTTCCAATGTCACAGAAAAGATTTACAGCACGGTCTAAGCAAGATACAGCCTCTGTATTCAAAGAGAGAAAAAATGGAATTTCATTTGTATTTTTAGTAATGCAAGTGAGGAATTACTAAGCTAAGCCAGGCGCATTTTAATTTGTTCCTGCTTAGGGATATAATCATACGTTCCAATCTAATCATTGGTGCAAATAACAAACCGAAATATTGCTATCGTATATAGACAGCCCTAACAAGAATAAATCCCTACTTATGCCAAATAATTTTAATATGTCTTAACAAAGCTCATCAATACAAAGGGCTTATTTATTAATACAAAGCCCATTATTTTATTTATACCTATGGAAAGATAAACAATGAGATAACAAATGTGCTTCACATATTCTTTATCCAAGCATAACTGCAGCAACTATTTTATATCATTTGCGTTGAAGTCAATACAGAAAAATATTGAGTCTAAAAGGAATAGGCCTTGCAGCGTGGAAGCAAGAGATTCATTTAAATCACAAATCATAAATGAGAAAGGATTATAGTGCATGCATACCATTTATGTTAGTTTTCTTGTAGCAATGTGCAGCATCAACATGGGCCTGTGCAGCTTCATGCTTGCTTTCCAACTAGAAACAGAAGACAAAATAGCAATATCATTGCAGGCTCAATAGAGTACCAAATGATGCAAAAGAGATTCAACAGTATAAACCCCACTCCAAAAACCAAACTCTTAATGATACCTTCAAATGGCAACTTGCCAGCTTTAAATATGTCGCTCCAGCTTTGTCCCCTGAAAGCCACAAATAGATCAAATAAAAAACCATATACAGAAGTATTCACTATTCCATCCTCGATTTTAAGTCAGTAACATTCAACAAAATAAAGCGAATAAATAGAGTCATCAAAGTAAAAGTGAGAACAGTCACAACATAACACAGAGAGCATGGCTAATCAGTTGATTATAGTATCAAACACTTCTTCTACAACTCTAGTGTTTCTATTCTAGTAATTGATCAAATAGAAAAACACTTCAAAACCATTTCCAGTAAAATCAGATCAGAGCTAATTAATTAGGGAGAGTTCAACAATTGGAGTCGGAAATCGAACACTAAAATCAACATTCGCCGATTGTACTAGCACTAACAACAAAAAGCTACTATCATCAGTATCTAAGTTAATCATCGTATACTTGAAACACAATGAAATTAAAAAAGAGTAGAGAGAAAGAGAAAAAAACATGATTTGGCGAGCTTGAAGGAATTGGCGGCCTTATCGAAGAGATCGGCTGCATCGTCGTATTTGGAGCCAAACAAGCCCCAACCGCTGAGCTTCTTCTCAGCTTTCTTCTCGAATTCTTCAGCCTTCGACAAATGATCCGACATTTCCCTCCGATCGAAACTGATAGAGATGGATTAAGAAAGAGTGTTGCAGAGAATCATAAGCCAAGGATGAAGATAATATATTAGACTATGTTGACGACCAAGTCCAAATACAAAACCGCAAACAAAGAAAAAGGAAAGACAGCAGCGTAAGGATGGGTTTTGAGAACTGCAAGAGAAGAAGGAGAATTGTCAATTTTCGATTTTCTGGAAAATAATTTCTTCAATAGCTTCTGGGCCAGTTTGGGCTTTTTATCGGTTGTTCTTCTTCAATATCGATTTGGGCTTTTTTCTTGTGTCGCGACTCCTAATCCAGTTTGAGCCTCAGTATCTTCGGCTGCTTCTTTGGGCTTCGTCCCTTTTTGACTAATTTTTTTTTTCGTGTGGTTTGAGTAGGGTAATATAGTTATGAAGAATAACAACGTTATCCTTCTAAATGTTTAGCATAAAACTATATACTTAAAACTCGAACTCAATATGAATCAACTTTGTTCATTCACTCATTTGGTTGAACGATGTTAGTATTTGTTAGTGGAAAATCGAGAAAAGTGATCGAAAAATGAAGGAAAGAAAAATCGAGAAACATGTGATTCATTGATAAATCAAAAAGATGGATGAGAAACCATTCGATGTTCAACTAGAAGTGCATGACATATAAAATCGAGAGGTGGAATCAAGAATCGAAGGAATAATAGTTAAATGTCTATTGTCGAATAAAAACCAAGAAATTAGAAGTATATGACATTAAGGTTAAAAGGAATCGAAAGTAATTCAAAGTTCTCGAGATCTTAAAATCGAAATTGAGGGGAAGATTAACTTACGAGGATATCGAAACCTTGGCCAAATCATAAAGAGAAGAATAGTTAAACACGCGAGATAGGAAGCGGTTTTTAACCGTGGCGGAGGTCGAAGATCATGGGAACGTGGGTGCGGTTTTAACACCACAGGAAAAGAAACCGCAACATGCACAAAAAACGTGGTAGCAGTTTCGTTAACTGCTCCTAAGAGACTACTTGAAAGATGATCTATAAATAGAGCAAAAGGGGAAAGGAAAAAGGGGGAGGTGGAAAAATTGGCAGAGAACAGAAATACTAGTGAGAAGTCTACCGGAGAACGACGAACATTATGAAGTTTCTGGCGATCTGGATTTTCATGCTCATTGAGTACCTTTACCGCTTTCTTTATTTTCCCTGGTAATCTAATTTGATGCAATTTATCTTTAGCAACTTTAAGTTTCTGTACTTTCGATTCCTTGTCATTTCCTTTAATGAAAGTTAAGTTTCCGCATTTAAGCTTCTTGCTATTTACATTTCTGTAATCTCGATTTCCTGCTATTTACATTCTTGTTACTCCAATTTCTTGTCATTTAATGCAAATTTGAGGTTTCTGCATTTTTACCTCTTGACAATTCAATTTTCTGTTTTGCTTTTCGATTCGACGCTTCTATTGCTTTTGTTTACTTTGAAAGTTCTAAACATAAAATACCAAAAATAGCATTTTCGATACTATGTAAATTTCGATTCTCATATGCATTTCAATTGAAAATCAATTTGTTAGCCTAAGTAAAAAAAGAACTTGCGTGGTTGAATTTTGATTAGAATCAAAACCTCTTAAGAATCGGTATCGATCGAAATTCCACCAGAAACAAATTGGCGCGCCAGGTAGGGGAATCTTGTGTTGAAAATACACAAAATTGGTTAGTTTGAAAGTATATGAGATTAAGGAGTGGGCGAGTTATAAGAATGAGTCAGAATCCACCAAATAACCAGAGTAACAGTGAGGGTCTAAATGGTGCACATCCACCAAATACTGGGGGGCAAAGTTATAATGGAAATATGCCTGTAATATCGACAACCGTGAGTATGTCGATACATGTGAGTAATGAACAAAATGCAGACACATTAGCAAACACCCAAGTAGGATCTAGTACGGTGACACCAAACAATATGCAAACTATGGGAAACCCCATAACAACAAATGCTGGGCCATATATGAGCGTCAGACCACCTGGGTTTTCGCTTAATATGAATGGGGCTGGTACCTCTTCGATACAACAAAACTCGAGATTTAACCTAGGAATGCCTCAGAACTCGGGTACCTTTCAAACCCTAGGTATGCCGCAAAATTTCGAGTCTCTCCGAATTTAGGATCTCAAAATTTAGTAACCCCCGGAATTCGGGAGTGGGCAAAATTTAGGTACACAGACGAGACACCTCCAAATCTAGATCACGAGCAAATTTGGATCATGGGAGAAATGCATTCGATAGAGATTATTATCGATCTAATTTTGAGACTATTGAAAACACTAATGCTGGGATCTCCAGCGAACTCACTAGGAGTACTTAGACAACAAATGGATGAGAGCAATTTTGAGATGGTGAATATGTTATCACAACGAGTTGACTACGAGTCCTCAATCCATTAGTTCAAAACACTACTTGCTAGTTTTGAGATATTAGCGAGACCAAATGACCCGTATCGGGGATGCATTGGTTATACCTCGACAAACAAGAGTGGAAAATCATGCCAATCAAAGCATTAACCAAAGTGCTAACATCAATCCCCCGTATCTATTGAGGAGGAATCGAAACAATGATCAACATCAGCATATGGGGAACGAATATCAACATGTGAGGAATGATATTTATGGGAATCTGAATGAGGGATTTCAAAATATGTACAATCAAAATAATATGCAGTATAATCACATGTTAGGACAAAGGGTGAATTCCCAAGGAATGGAGTTAAGAACACCCAATCAAACGTATTTTGTTTCTCCTTTTTCCGAATGTTATTCTCGAGACAGAATTACCTCGAGGATACAAAATACCCAAATTCACCAAATTTGTTGGAGAAATTGGTGAATCCACTATCGAGCACGTGGCTCGATATTAGATCGAATGTGGGGATCTAGCGATGAGTGAAGAATTAAAAATGAAATATTTCCCTAGTTCATTGACGAAAAATGCTTTCACTTGGTTTACTTCGCTGTCGCCTAATTCGATATATAATTGGTTGCAGCTGGAAAGAAATTTTCATGAGCAATTCTTTAGAGGAGAGACTCAAGTAAGTCTCATCGATTTGATGAACATAAAAAGATACAATCATGAAAGTATAGATGATTATTTGAATAGATTTAGACAAATGAAATCGAGATGTTTTACTCAAATTCCTAAATATGAATTAGTCAGAATGGCCTCTGCAGGCTTAGAATTCTCGATTAGGAAGAAGTTAGTTAATTTACCATTGAATGACATGACTCAATTAGCTGATAAAGTGAGAAGAGTAGAACAAATTGAATATGAAAAACAAAGGTATAAGAAATTTGAAAAACCCATGAAAAAAGAAAGAGTAGCATATATAAATGATGTGTATGAGACAGATCCCTCGACAGAAACTAATATTGGAGAAATTGTCGATGAGAAAGTTAACATAGCAGAGCTCAAAGTAGGAGCTCCATATATTTGTAAATTACTACAAAAAAATGAAGTAAAAGACAAAATGGCAAATCGAACATATACTTTCGATGTAACGAAGGCAGATAAGATCTTCGATATTCTATTAAAAGATAAACAAATTAAGTTGAGTGATGATCATAAACTGTCTTCTGCAGAACAAAGGAATAGTCGAAAATACTGCAAATTTCATAATGTTTATGGACACTGGACTAACAATTGTATACATTTCAGGAATACGATCCAAGATGCGATCGACCAAGGAAGACTGAAGTTCGAAGAGATGCCAATGAAAGTGGACACGAGTCCATTCGAGGTTCAGGTGGGGTATATTTAGGGGTGTCAATATGGGTTCTAACCCGTGAGCCAACCCGGCTCACCACGGGTTCGAGCCGGGTTGGGTTGGATTTTTTTTATTTCTACCGATTATGGGCTAAAATGAACCTGGCTCACTTAACCCACGGATTAAACGGGTTCGAGCCGAGTTATGGTGGGTTGGCCATAACCCACCATTAATTTTAAATTTTAAAAATAATTATAATATATATTAACCTTAATTAATAATTATATTTTAAATTTTAAAAATAATTATAATACTTCAGTAACCCTAAATGTTATCCTACCTCATCTCTATCCTATATTGTCGCTGCCGCCACAACAAGTCAAACCCTATCAGTAACACTACGTTTGTCAACTGCACTATCTTATCATATGTTCATCTTCATCGTATCACTACATCACCGTACCCACTGTAGCATCTATACATTATTTGTTGTTTGTTATTGATTTATACGTATATCTCTTTAATATATGAATTTTTGACTTCTTTCTTTCAAATTAATTTATAGTATGGAATCGAAACAATGCATCAAAGTGTCAATGTGAATTGTGTTAGTGATGATTTTATTGTTAATGAAAAACCCAATGAGCCAATTTCGGTTAATAATGAAAATACCGATGTTGAGAAAAAAAGGAAAAAAGCAAAAGTTTCTACATCCGAAGTTTGGAAATATATATATATATATATATATATATATATATTTTTATATATATTTATATTATTTTAAAAAAAATATGGGTTAGTGAGCCAACCCACCTAACCCACCAACCCGTGGTGGGTTTAGCCGGGTTGTAAAATTTACGGCTCACCAAAAAGTGAGCCGGGTTGAGCTCATTTATTTTCAGCTCAACCCGTGGTGAGCCAACCCGTGTGAGCCGGGTTGGCTCACTTTTACACCCCTAGGTATATTGAATCCTAAACGGGCATGACTGAAGATGTCCGGGTGACAAATTCGGCTTTTATAGGTATGGTCGATGTTACTGAAGACATTGATCCCAAGCATGTCAGAATGGATGTACCCGAAGAAGATATGGAGTTCGACCTGAGTGAATTCGAGAAAGAATTCGAGAGGGAGATCTATCCTCGAACAGAAGATTCTCTCATCGAGTTTTTAAACAGAAAGAAAGAAAAAGATGAAGATGTGTCGTTGTGTCCACGATGCAGTGCGGTGTTCGACAAGTCAGCTGCTAGAGCCTTCAGAGTGGAAC